CTCATCAAATACATCAACTTCATTTCATCATTTAATAGAAAACTACTTGACATGATCTCAAACTCTTTGATAAAGTGTGTATAGTCGGTTAGGTTTCCATCAAAGTACCAAGACTCGAATTTGGGTAAATTTAAACGTTTTCTGTCCCTAGAAGGCAAACCATGAACAACAGACTCATCATTCTGAGCATCATACATATCATTACAATTAACAAGCAGCTCAATATTACTTACTTTCCTGTCTGCTTCCAAGACGCTTTTTCCCTTCCTTAACCCAGACAACACTGAACCTGACCAAAAGATCGAGAAAAGTCCCAGATAACACTTGTCCGAAGAAGACGGGCAGGCACGAGGGAAGACGAATGGGAGCTATCAGAAACTGTCACTTTCCAGCTCTTGCTACGCTGGGCCTCACGCTCTTCCTCGGAAACTTCCAGAAACAGTGTGTATTAACCAACGCGAAAAACCAGAACACAGATCGGTGACTCAAGAATCCTTTATTCTTACGCCAATATGTAACCAACAGTAAAGTTATTATGCACAAAGTCTAAGAATAAATGTTATAGCAATAAATCATGATAATACTTCTCATGGATCTCTGTCTTCCGCTGAACAGCAGTATTGATCACTCCCGCGAAAAATTTGTAGCAGTTGGGTTTGAACAAACAACCATGAATTGATCGTTCAATCTTCAACTACATTGATAGAATGTTTGTAGGCGTACTGCTGTAAGTCTTACAGCTCTTCAAGGGTAGTTCGTCAAGCCAGAATCCACTACATTTGATGTTTTGATTGTACATATGTTTGTGTTAAGTAATTGTGTGCGTTCCAATTAATGTAATTGTTGATTAATCTTGTTTGTGTCCGGACATTCTTCAAACTATAATCGTCAACCTGAGAAGGGTGGCAGGCGAACTGCTGTAAGTCCTACAATACTTCAAAAGAATTACATCGAGATATGATCCGCGAGTTTGTGTGTACTGTTTGTATATATGTGTCGTGTGTCATATCAATTGGTGTTTTTGGGATTCACTGTGTTTACTTGTTGTATTCGTACCTTGATTTTTTCGCATAATTTTGTCAAAATTTTCGTTGTGCTTACTTCTGAATTGGTTTCTAGTCTTCTACATCCGTGAATGAATTGATCGATGGTAAAGACAGCAGATGGGTCGTATACGCCGGTGAGGCTATTACTGAGAATGACATGCACCCGGAGATAATGATTTGCTGTGGAATCAATGATTGAGAATGAATGTTTCTATTTGTGCTGTGGTCCCACACGCCGGGGAGCGAGAGTGTAGACGACTGAGGCACGCATAGGTCACCGTTACTAGAACTGAGGCAGAATGAGTGACAAGCGATTGCAGTGGTAATTGGTAGTGAGTAGATAAGAGGATGTGCGTAGAGTATCGTGGGTTGGTGCTATGGTCACGTTGCATTCTGCAAGAGTCATTCTAGCAAGTGGCGATTGTGTTGCAAGATGTCAAGAGGATGCATTTCATTGGAGGGCGTAGGTCGTCATCGATGAGTGAGATTGTGCTGTGGGTATGCCTGAAGTGTGTTGGATTTGCTGTTTGTTTTCCATTTCAGCTTTGTCCGTGTGACCTAGGTTCTCGCACTGGCATCCAAGTCAACGTGTATTGGTCGTGATGGAATATTTTTGCCGGGGAGTGTCAATGTAGTTGAAGATTGAACTATCAATTCATGGTTGTTTGATCAAACCCAACTCCTCCAAATTTTTCGCGGAAGTCATAGGTAATGCAGCCATCGTCTCATCGTTCGCTGTTCGGTAGAAGAGAGAAAAACAATCAGACGTATTATTGTGAGATATTGTCATAAAATTTATTCTTAGATTTTGTGTACAACAACCTAATGTTTCGCTCTGTATTGGTGCAAGAATAAACGGTTCTTGAGTCACTAATTTGTGCTCTGGTTTTTTGCATTGGTTATTACGCATAGTTCCTGAAAGACGTCAATGGACAGTGTGAAGTCCAGTGTAGTTATACCCGGACATTTACAGTCTGTTGCCTGTTGAAAATCCTTTACGTGTCACGCAGTGCAAGTCTCTGACCCGTAAAGAAGAACTGACTGGCTTTATATTTGTGTTGACAATCCCAATCTTGTTACCTATGGTGAGTCAGTGTAGAAGATTTCCAAACTAGGCTCAGGTTGGTGAACGCGTATCTTGACATTCCGATTCCGACTTTGACATCTTCATCCGTTCCGACTGCCTGAAGTTGAAACGTTGCTTCCCAGATAAATGAAGGAGACAACCTCTCTTAAATCTCTCCTGTTGAGGGTGATTGGTGGTGGCTTTTGCTGTTGGTTGGTTATCCTCACCACCTCCGTCTTCTCTATGTTCGCCGGCAGTCCTGTCTTCGCTGCCTGTTTCTTCAGCCAATTTGTTGCCCTTTGCCTGTAAAACTTTGAGTTTCTGTGATATTAGATGCATATCATCTGCGAAACCCAGATCTTCTAGAGTCTTCATATCGGTCGTCCAGCGCGTTCCTGTCTCTTCCCTCCCTGTGCACAGTCTCCGGCATAATCCAGTCCGCCACAATTAGGAATATCATCGGGTATAATAAACAGCTCTGTCTTACTCCTGTAAGCATTTCGAATGCCTGGCTGAGTGAGTCTTCCGTTGTAGATCACCTGAAACGGGGGATTGTCGTATGAACAGCTATTGAGTGAGGTTGGCAATGACTTGAGACACACCGTAGTGCAGTGTTTGCTGAGATCTCTTTTGCCTGCGGCCTGACAGCTGTACTTCGGTTGCCAGTGTGTCGCAAAATTGTCATTTGTCTTTTCTAGTACTCACCTTCGCTTCTTTATTCACTGCAGTGTACCTTGAACTCGTCTTCTCATTCTGTTGTCCATCTTTGCATTGAGTCATCGCCGTTCTCTTTCGTCATCCTCCTCTCCTCAATTAGCTTCCAGGTATCTGTTGAGAGCCATTCCTTTTCTTGTATCTTCTTACTTTCCGAAACAGTTGTACACATTTCCTTGAACATCAACCGCAGAGAGTCCCAGTGTTCTTCCACACGTATTTCCTTAGTCATGACACGCGGTGTCTCCTAAGTTGCTCTGATCTGATATGTAGTGGAGGCATCCCATGTGGTTTTGTCTTTCAGTTTCTGAATGTTGGACTTGAATCGCGGCCTTTCTCCAGTTGTTCTGAAAGATTTCAGCTTCACCTCGAAAGTTCCTAGAACTAGATGGTGGTCTGAGCCCACATCTGTTCTCCTTCTCGACATTGTGTACAGCGGGCTGTGCCTCCACTTCCTTGAGATTGATATGAAATCTATCCGGTTTGTGGTATGTCCGTCAGATAGAATCCATGTTACTTTGTGTGTATCCTTGTGTTTCTACACGCCCCCTCCGATCATCAAATCGTTGAAAAAGCAGGAGTCGGCGAATAATTCTCCGTTCTCATTCAATTCTCCGAGAGCCTCCTGCATTATTACCTCAAAGTTTGGCATTCATATCGCTAATGAGGATTTTGATGTCACCGTTTGAGATGTTGTGCATTACTGTTTGTAGTTGTCTGTACAAATCCTCCCTTTATTTTTCCGCGTTGTTTGTAGTACAGTGCGTAGCACTGGGTAAATGTTACTTTCCTTCCTTCCAAGTTTAATCTTGCTGTCATCATCCCGTGTGAGATTGATCCATGCTGCATTATAGCTTTGTCTACTTTTGGTGGAATCATTATAGGCACTTCCTTAGTATGCTTGTGGTTTTCGTCTTGGTGGCCTGTGTGGTTAACTGGCTCCCCAGTTGAAATTTTGATAATCCGCATCCATTTCATCTGCTTTCGCACAAACGCTGCATTTCTACGCCTAATCTTCGCATTTCGTTGGCTACTCGGATAGCCTTCCTAGTCTCGTACATTTTACGGACATTCCACATCTTCATTCGTATTCTTGGTTTCATCGAGAGAAGACACATCGGTTGACGGACTTCCCGAAAACCTTCACAAGGCCGCGTCATTTCACCTCTCCAATCCTAGCGAGGAATAAGATCTTTGAATTTCTATATTTTTAACACATTTTTTGTATGTTGAAGTTTCTCTAGCCATTTGATAGGTTTAGTAGTCTAGTTTTGCTAGTCCTACGCCCAACCCTACCTCTTTAAGAGACGTTGGGACCGGTTAGAAAGCTAGTAAGGTAGTTAACTGGGAAAGGTTACTTTCTATAATGTTTCAAACAAATTTTCCCAACTTGGTCAATTGTTCTGGTATTCAACTTTCTTTCAGAATACATCAGCAATTATTCGCTATTTCCTAGTTTTTGTAGACGGTTCGTAACAAACTTCGATGTGATTCGCTCTACTTAGTCTAGTTCTATCGTTCAAAATGCTGTGTCGAGGCCTTTGTTTTGAAAAATCACTGGAATAGCTAGTAGCTCAATTACGTAAATCAAAAAATTACTTTATGGTTATGGGCACAGTGATTAACTGAAAAGAAATGCACGAAGAAGAGTGCACTACTTTTGGAATCTCAGCTATTATTTCGCCTCTGCTCAGCAGATTTCCTACGGCTCACTAGGCTGACCACTAATAAATTTCACGGATCTAATTGTGAAGCAGTAACCAAATGCTGTGGACACTAATTTGTCAAAGTGATCGAAGAATGTTTTATCTACTTGAGCATACCTGACTGTACAGTAAATGTAGTATAAACGTATGGAAGCAACATTCTCTCATTTTTTGACTCACAACGACTTGAAAGCTATTGGGTGTCAGGAAACTAAAGTCACTGCATAAAGTCGATCGGCTGAATATCAATACTGTTCTGAAGTTAAGAATTTATTAGGTGATTTATTGAATTCAAAAGTATTTAGTGGCATTAAACATTGTAGCAGGTGTATCCAAAAAGCGAATCGTCTTTATTTTGAGGAAAAAAGAAGTGTTTTATTATGTCAATTGTAGATTGGACACTTCAATAAAGAACGTTCCGAGGGTTTTTGGCAGGAAGCGGTCAGTTTGGATCTCCACGTTAGAAACATGGTAAGTGTCGATGTATTGTTCTTAATAGGTCATGTAGGCGGATGAATCTGGCAAAAAGCGCAGGCCATTCAAGAAGTTTTTCTATCGCGGTGTTGACCTGGATCAGTTGCTTGATATGAACTGGTAAGTAACGAGAACTAACACTGATATTCACTTCAGGGAACAAATTGCACTGCTTATGCCAGCACGCATACGTAGACGAATTAATCGAGGATTACGTCGAAAGCATATGACACTCTTGAAGAAGTTAAGGAAAAGCAAAAAAGAATGTCCATTTGGCGAAAAGCCAGCTGTAAGCTACTGTGAAATAATCTGACATTTCAGGCTGTAAAAACTCACGTTAGAGATATGATCATACTACCTGAGATGATTGGATCTGTTGTCGGTGTTTATAACGGAAAGTCATTCAATACCGTCGAGATCAGGCCTGAGATGTTGGGCCACTACCTTGGAGAGTTCTCAATAACCTACAAGCCTGTAAAGCACGGAAGACCTGGTGTCGGTGCAACTCATAGTTCTCGATTCATTCCTCTTAAATGATTGGTCATTACAAGTTTTCTGGATTATACTTCTTGTTGCGTTGTTTCTTAGAGAGGACATTTGTTAGAGCATTCAAATGTGTCTGCCAGACACCGCGGTCACACTTCAGTTTCATAGTGACGTGAAGTGTGAGGTGAGCCTGGAAAACTAGCTTCGTAGATGTACTGAAAAGATTGAATGGAAGGTATCCACTCGGCCTGATTGAACACTTGTTAGCCTACTTCACCACCTGTGCATATGTCAAAAGCTTAGAGAAGTTTCGCACTCATCAGCGTGCATGTAAGATTGAGTGTGTTTAACACCACACTCGGTAGTGATGTTCATTCACGTATAAGCTCTAACCTTCTGATGGCCTTTCCCTATACTTTGTCATTTCTGGTGTTTGGCTAGCTAAGCATGGCTCTCAGTCGACCTACAACAGTCTCAGATAAGTGGGTTAGCACATGTTTCTCATAACTTTAAAATAGGGTTCTTGTACATTAGTAACTAGGCTAGTATCAGTATGATTCATTCGGCAGAATAGCGATAAATACTATACGTCAGACACTGACATTCAGGGATGTCTGTACTTGTATTCTACTGGCGCCTAAACTTAATTTTCCTGATGTGAACCGGTCAGTTATAAACACGAAAGTAGCTTAACAGTTTAAAATCGTTTATAAAGACATTCTTTAGAAAGATAATAGTGAGAGGTCGTATGATTTGGCTTCCAGAAGTCCATTTGCATGATTGCTATTCCAAGTCCGAGGAGTTAGTTACCATTGTCCGCCATAACAGGAGTGGAACATTTATTAATGCGTAGGTCGAGAACAATCAGTCTTCACACAGTCGTGTAGGATATTAGTTCTCAAATTTTCGAAAAGACCACCAAAGTTGCATACATCCCGTTAAGCTTTTAGGTCAGGAATTTGTCACTCCTAGCCTGACTCGGATCAGACACAAGCGACTCACTTGCGATTACCGTCTCCAGTTGTGGGCAATGTCGCGCTGCAGATAACTACCGCATCCACCCCAAAGAAAGGCTTTCTAACAAGTGGGAATTCAGTTGTCTTGATTGGTGAGTGGAAATAAGATTCATACCAGCTCGTACAAAGGCAAATGTGCTAAGCGTTCGTTTCTATCCCTCGTCGCATTCAGGAAGTTGTTGAGAGACTACTTACCACCAACCTTTGGTTATAATGTTAGGAGTAAAGATACCACATACATTCACCGTTTCACGCAAGTTGTATCAGCCCTGGTTGTTCAAATTCTGTTCGGTTGTTGTCACGCGTAATGGTGGCCTTCGAGAGACGTGCATTGCATGTAGCATAAATGTCCCACAAAACAAGTTGTAGTAAAGGTCAAACGGTCGTATAGCAAGGATATAATTCGATATCCTATAGGGTAACGAATTATCAACTGTGTGACCTGGTTGATGATTTTGGGTGCTGTCACTGTTGAAGATATTTATCGGTGTTTTTGTAAAGCTTCGAGAAATGGCTGAGATATGAGTCGCACACATTATGTCACTGCCCAGCTGGACTAATAGTGCTTGTCTGAGTAGGATTATCTCAAGTGAGGGTTAGAGGTGGTCAAGTTCGGTTTGTCACCGCTCTGTAGACGGTTTAAATTATGTACGAGGCAGTGGAGATATAAGCATGGATTTTCGCTAAGATAAGTAGTGACTGAGAACTTATACGTCTAGGAGTCGTTTGTGTGTGTTTTCTCTTACAATTTCCAACAATCGCTGTTCCTATCATACATGTTCCCATGTTGCAGTATCAACTTCTCTTCTGCGTATACTGCTTTGAATCGTGAGTGAAGCGAAGCATTATGTAAATTTCCGCTTTTGGTTTAGTCATACTTTGCATTATAAAGTTGCTCCTCGTATTTATGCTTCATACCTTGTTTTTTATAAGGTTCACTCAGTGAGTCATTTCTTTAAAAAGCTTGAGCTTTATTCTGTTTATCGAAGACTAGAGACGTCAGTGGTGTGTTCATTGATTATTGTTGAAGTAGTTCAACGTGTCTTGATTCAGTTTTGCTTTATTTTTACTACATAATAAGTAGTCAATTTTATTTTTCCCCTCCTAATTTCGTTTGGCGATAGATACAAGTATAACACTAGCCGATTATTACTTCATTTCAACAATATATTCTAGTTTTAAGTGAATTCTTGTATTCTAGTAAGTGAAAAGCAACAGGTTGGCAGAAGAAGCATCAACGATAGGACTTCAGGTGAACACAGAGAAAACAGAGGTGATGAAGATTCCTGGCCAACAGCTACAGCAACAACGACAATCTGTCTGTCTGTCTGTTTTCGACATAGAACTTTGCACAAATGTGCGGAAGTCCAAGTCGCCACATTCCGTGTAGCACGCGAAGCAAGAGAAGAAAGTACAAGAAAAGCATAATACAAACAGTGAGTAGAGGTGTGAGACAAAGGAGTAATAAAGAAATACAAAACAGTTTCATTGAAGATCATAAGTCACAGGGAGTGGATGCATCTGCGCCACTGAGAACGGTTTTGAGCCATGTCACCAATTGTTTCCAACCATAGATTTTTACCGTCCCGAGGACCCCAGCCTGGAAGTCTACACCTTTCTACGTGGCTTAGACCGACTGTTGTGGATTTCATTGGCTGATGCCAAGTTTTTGTTTGACCGCCGCTAGCTTTTTTCCAGCCTGACCCTATATCCGCTAACATGAATGGGAGAAATTTGAAAGAAGCAACCTCCTTTACCTACCTGGGGAGCATCGTTTCAACTGCAGGGGGAACTGACGAGGATATCAAAGCGAGGATCGGAAAAGCGAGACAAGTTTTCATTACTCTTAGGTCTGTGTGGAGGTCAACAGCACTCAGCATCGAAACTAAGATCCGGATTTTCAACTCCAATGCGAAGTCAGTGCTATTTTACGAATTAGGTGCTTGACGCGTTACGAAGAGCACTTTGAACAAACTGGACCCTCATCAACAGCTGTCTTCGCTCAATACTCAAAATCAGACGGCCGGCCAGAAAAGATCAGCAACAGGGATCTCTGGGAATGAACCAACCCGACAGGGACCGATTGTGCAACAAATATGCAGGACGAAGTGGAGGTGGATTGGCCATACTCTGAAGAAACCATCAAATGACATCACATGCCAGGCCACTGGTCGAGTAGAACCCGAACTGGAAGCGGCGTGTTGGTCGTCCAAGGGTGACATGGAGGAGGTCATGTGAAGAGGGAATGAAGACGTGTGGGCAGATATGGAGCCAGGTGAAAACGTTGGCAGAGAACGAAACGCAATGAAGACATGTTCCTCTAGGAACCAAAGGAAATAATAATAGTCTTACTGGCCTTAATTCACTAGTTTCAATGTAAGCTGCACAGTATGTACTAGGCCAACTAAGTTCACTTCTAACAAATTTGCGATCCCTAGTGTCGCAGTCATATAGAGCACCAAAAACATATGTTCATAGAATATCTAATGAATTTATGAAGATCTTGGAGATAATTGTCAAATGCTAGTGAATTCACCACCTGTACAGCTGTATCCACGGCTAACTGTATTTGTGCCAGGTTTCCTCAGGAAGAGCCTTGCTGTCTATCTCAGATACGCGTTTCGCTATTTTTAATAAGCACTCAGAGTCTCGTTGTAGTTAAGGACGTAACTGCTTCGCTGCGAACAATTTATATTCTTTAGGCCACGGCTTGATCGGAGTCCACGCATGTGTTCCTGAAGGAGCGGCATTCTCCTGCTGACCCTAGCCAACGATACCCAGTCGCAACATGGAGGTTAGGCGTAGAGTTCTAGGTAAACAGGGGAAATCAATCGACGAAGTCGTGAAGCTACAAAGACTGAGATGGTTAGGACATGTGTTACGTATGCCAAGCCATCGCCTCCCTCGACGAGCTATGTTAGCGGATATAGGGTCAGGCTGGAAAAAAGCTAGCGGCGGTCAAACAAAAACTTGGCATCAGTCAATGAAATCCACAACAGTTGGTCTAAGCCACGTAGAAAGGTGTAGACTTCCAGGCTGGGGTCCTCGGGACGGTAAAAATCTATGGTTGGAAACAATTGGTGACATGGCTCAAAACCGTTCTCAGTGGCGCAGATGCATCCACTCCCTGTGACTTATGATCTTCAATGAAACTGTTTTGTATTTCTTTATTACTCCTTTGTCTCACACCTCTACTCACTGTTTGTATTATGCTTTTCTTGTACTTTCTTCTCTTGCTTCGCGTGCTACACGGAATGTGGCGACTTGAACTTCCGCACATTTGTGCAAAGTTCTATGTCGAAAACAGACAGACCCAGTCGCTATGTGGTCTAAGTCTGGCGTTGATTTGGTGATAGAGGTCGCTAGGTTACGCAATGTTTGTTTTTGTGCCTAAAGTTAGTGCTGACTAGGAACAGATGATTATCTGAGCCGAACTGTAGAAGACGATCACTGTTGTCGGTTTGTCGGCAGGGAACTCCATACGTACCACCTACATACTTCTCAGTCCGGCATAACTTCCCTGCTTGGGCATTGAAGTCGCCTGCTAAAACATCGATATCTGAATGCTTTGCTTTTTGCAGCGAATTAGACAGTTTCAGGTAGAAGGCATCCTTTAGTTCATCCGAACAGCAGTCTGTTAGGGCTTAAGTGGAGACTATGAAAACACAGCATCAGGTAAATACGTCCTTCCTTCTTCTGTCGGACCGCACACCTACGACTATCTACTGCGATCCAGTCAGGAAGGAATTTCTCTGCCCCAACACTCAGTGCTATCCCTACACCTGCAGGTCCTCGCGAACTGAATGAGGAGTCTCCTGACGCTTATAAAGTGAATTTTGCAGATTCACCTTGTTGGCTGG